ATATGTTAATGCTTTTCTTTCTTCTAGATTGAGCCCATTCAAAGTAAGATCCAATGGCATTAGCGTGGTGTTTTTGCAAAGTGCATCTATTAAAGCTTCTCCATCTTGAAGATTATTGTCTCAAATATCTAAATCTTTTAGAGTGGAGTTTTTGCAAAGTGCTTCAATTCAAGTTCATTATGTCTGAGATCTAATGTTGTTAAAATGTTCTTGCAAAGTGTATTAGCTAATGCTTTTCTTACTTCTGGTTCAAGATTATTATTCCAGTGATTTAATGTTGTTAAGGAGAAGTTTTTGCAAAGTGCATCAGCTAATACTTCTTCTACTTTGGATCCAAGATTATTACTATTGAGATTTAACGTTATTAAGAAGGAGTTCTTGCAAAGTGCATCAGCTGATGCTTTTCTATCTTCAAATCTAAGATTATAATAATGGAAATTTAATGTTGTTAAGGTTGAGTTTTGCAAAGTGCATTGCCAATGCTTTTTCCAATTCTGAAAATTTATCGTTGTTAAGGAGGTGTTCTTGCAAAGAGTATTAGCTAAACCTTTTCCACCTTTAAATCCAAGATTATTTTTATTGAGATTCAACATTGTTAAGGAGGAGTTCTTGCAAAGTGTATCAGATAATGCTTTTTCTCCTCCTAATCCAAGAATATTATAATAAAGATTTAACATTGTTAAAGAGGTGTTCATACAAAGTGCAATAGATAATATTTTTCCACCTATGGATTCAAGATTATTATAATAGAGATCTAATATTGTTTAAAAGATGTTTTTGCAAAGTGCATTAGCTAATATTTTTCCTACTTTGGATCCAAGTTTATTTTTTGGAGATTCAAGTTATTGCAAAGTGCATCAGCTAATGCTTTTGTTCCTTTGAATTCAATTTTATTACCACTGAGATCTAATATTGTTAAAAATATAAGCTTGTAAAGTACACATGCTAGTACTTTTTCTTCTTCTGACTCAAGCCTATTTGAAGTAAGATCCAATGGTGTTATTGCAAAGTGCATCTATTAATGTTTCTCTATCTCCAATATTATTGTTTTGAATAGCTAATCTTTTATAGTAGTGTTCTTGCAAAGTGTTTTACTAATATGTATTCCCTTTTAATTCAAGTTTATTATATTTAAGATCTAACGCTATTAAGGAGGTGTTCTTACAAAGGTCATCTGCTCCAATTTTATTACTATTGAGATTCAACATTGTTAAGGAGGAATTTTTGCAAAGTATATTAGTTAAAGCTTTTTCTTCTCCTAATCCAAGTTTATTATAATTGAGATATAAAGTTGTTAAGGATACATTCTTGCAAAGTGTATTAGCTAATGCTTTTCTATCTTCAGATCTAATTTCATTATCATAGAGAGCATTGTTAAGAAGGTGTTCTTGAAAAGTGCATTAGCTAATCTTTTCCTTTTTCGGATTCAAGATAATAACTATTGAGATTTAACATTGTTAAGGAGAAGTTCTTGCAAAATGTATCGGCTAATGCATTTCCACCTTATGATCCAAGATCATTATTTCAAAGATCCAAATCTTTTAATGTAGTATTCTTGTAGAGTGCTTTTGTTAGTTCATTTAAATATTTCAATCCATATTTATTCCAAGATAGATCTTAAGTTGAATAATCTTTAGGTTGTTTCTGAGTATTTCCTCAAGAAGTTCTAATGCTTTGAGAAATTTGTATTGGTTAAAACAGTTTCATTCTTTCTTTTTCAAATTTTGAGAATACTATTATTCTGCTCTAAATTATTTGAATTTATCATGTCAGGTAAATAAAGTGGAGATGAAGTTGTAATTTCAAGTAAATTTTGAATATGTTTATATTGTCTTGGCCACTTGAGAGATTTTCACTATTTTCAGATAATGTAGATAATGTTTTGATAGAATTATATTGACTCAAAGTTCAAATAAGAATAAGTTGCTTTAAAGTATTAAGAATTAATTTTGTTTCTGAGTGATTGCTAGAATCTCTGTTCTAACATTTTTTTTAAAGTTCAATATATTGAGATAATATACAGTACCTTCTATAGGTTTTTCTTTATTTTCTTGAACTATGTAATAGCAGAGTGGCATTATAAATTCGAAGTTTTGAAATAGAGGGTTTCTGCTTGAAATCTCCCAAAGAATTACATCAAGACTATAGACATCAAATTTCTTATTATGTTTCTATTTTGGATCAATAAACCATTTAAGATTGACATATGCTGGTATTCTATGAACAATTGAGTTTAAAGTCTTAGATATTTTATTAATCTGCTTTGATAGTCCCAAAATTGTAGTCTATAGTTGTCTTTGATGAATTAAAATATTTTTAAGTGCTAAATTATTAAAATAAATTATTTTAATAACAGATAGCTGATAAATATATTACAGTTAGAGATAGGTTTTATGCATGTGTATAATTCTTTAATTGTGTACATTAATACACATTCATGTGCATGTTTTGGAATCATGCACATTAATACACATTCATGTGCATGTTTTGGAATCATGCACATTTTATCTCATCTAAATTTTATATAGGAAAATTAAAGTATATATAATTTAGGTCAAGGAGTGTATTGTTGGGTAGAATTAAGAAATATTAATACAAAAGTCTCTAAAAATTCTGAAAAGAAAAAGAATAAGCATAAAAGAAGAGCAAGATTTGGGTAAAAATTTGAGCATGTATTCAATATTTCTAAAGAGAAAATATAAATTCCAAAAATTATATTATGCGATATTATGTGTATTTTATTTTATTTTATTTTTTCCTTTGATAACCGTGTACTAAAATTTTATTAAGATGTGACATTCAATACAAGATTAAAATACTTAATATTTGATTAGACTAAAAGACGGCTGTCTCTTAAAAATGCCCAACTTTGGTTTTTACACTGATGATTACCACTATACCCCACATACAGTGTGCCGCATTTAAAGATATAATAGCTTGGGCTCAGCTCCCAACTCATCAAGACCTCACTTTCTCTTCAAATTCTTCCTTCTTCTCAAGGGGCACGAGACAAAAAGGGGAAAAGTTTAAACAAAGAAAGAACGAAAACGACCAATAAAGAAAAAACTAATAAAGCAAAAAAAAAGAAAAACAAATTGCAAAAAAGAAAAAATATAAAAGAAATCTAAGATTCTAAAGGCACTATTATGGCTGGTAAAAATGTATAACAAGTGCAATGCTTGTATATCTCTTTTGTAAAGCTATGCCTTAATGTTAAAGTTACTTTTCGATCTTCCCACAATACTAATTCATATCTTGAGCCAAGTGCTGCCGTTGTCTGAGAGTTACACTTATCCTAACCCAAGAAGAACCCATATCTCAAGCCACCTACTGCCGTAATTAGAGTTCTCAGGCCGAATTATGTGCATTTTATATAATATATGCATGTTATTATAAAATGTACATTTTTCTTATCTCTAATTATAGTAATTTAATATAACATAGTACTTACCAAATCTCTATAAATAATATTATTATCATGTAAAAATAAAAGTCCAAGAACTATTTCTTTAGCAATGCATAGTTTATCTGCCCAATGTAATTTTGGAAAATATTCTTGTAAAGTTACATCATCAGCATATACTAAAACTATATTATAATATCTGTTGCTATCTGTATATTAGATATGATTGCTTATTAAGCATCTTATTATATGACAACTTCAAAAGTTATAAATTGCTAGTTTATCTTTTATCACTTTATAGAACGAAATAATATTTGAATAGCAAGAAACAATTCATAATAGTTTAAGTTAATTACATAATAAATTTAGTATTCTATATTTAGTAAATACTATTAAGTTCTAATATAACAAATAATACTTCATTGATAAAATCTTTAATAGTTTTTTTATTGATGCTTAAGACATTTAAGAGTAACTATTAATTTGCTGTCTCTCTACTCGTATTTATGAATCTTTCAAAAACCTCCACTATTGATCAAAATAGGGTTAGTAAATTTATTATATTCGATATAATTAATATGTTTATTAAAAATAGCTTTTTCAAAAGCTATTTATCTGGTATGTTTGCTATAATTTTTTGAATATGCTAATATTTGTCAAAAAACAATATTCATGCATACCGTAAATTCTCAAAATAGCAGGCATGAGTAGTGATTGACATAAATATTCCTCTCTGTGTTCAGAAAATAATACTCTATAAGCTAGTATAATTTGATCTGTAAATATAGATTTACAATAGCTTCGCTACTCAGTTCTTTCTAAAAATAAATTAATAAATGTATATATTTTTATTTATTTTTTTGATAAATAGAAAAAATAAAAAAATTAGAGTAAAATAAAATAAGAATAAATATTTATTTATTTTTTTGATAAATAGAAAAAAATAAAAAAATTAGAGTAAAATAAAATAAAAATAAATATTGATAAATCGAATATCATATTAAGTTTCACAGTTTTTTCTATAATCTTTTCATATAGTAATCTTAATATAGTAAAAAAAAAAATTATACTAATCCTAATAGGAATCTAAAATGTTTAATTATTTACTATATTCACACTATGATGATATATTATTTTAAAGTTTTTTTATTAAGAATATTTGCTTTATTTTTCTAATAGTTATATTACCAACAATTCATTAAATTACATTATACTAAGTACAGTTTACTAAAATATATGCATGTAACTAATCGAAAGCCAACTTTAACTATATATAATGTCAGCAATATATATATTAATAAAAGTACACAATAAAACTATTATTGTTCAAAAATAATATATTATCAAGAACAGCATTGACATTCTATCTGAAATAAATTTTGGCTCTATGTTCATCAATACTATAAACATGATTTGCAAAATTTTTATTGTTGATTTTTGCTCACTATCTTGTATATTATAAACAAATAATATCTATACTAATTATCTTTTCCACTTTAGTAATAAAAATATTAATATTATCTTCTAGATCAGAAATTTTAAGAATAGTTTTATAACTTTCTTTTATAAATTTAAGTTTTTTAAAAATAAACCAATTCTATATATTGGCTAAAATATTAATTAATCCTGATACAGAATATCTCAATTTTGCTCTTTCTATTGCTGTTAAGATTTCTTTGCTTTTTGTAGATTTTGCATGTTCTGAAAAACTTTTGCTAAAAATATCTTTAATATCTTGCCAAGATAGCAGAGTTTACTTTTTAAATATAGCTAGTATATATTTTATAATATTATTTAATAATAAAATTTCTTTTTTCTTCTTTACTAAATACTTAGAATTTATCTTCATTATTTCTAGCAGTAAAGTCTGGTTGTAGTAGTGGTTTTGATAAAATTATAATATTTAGAAAGAATATTACATACATATCTTTTGCTAAAATAAAAATCTTTAATTTTAAACTATATATTCTTAGATAAAAATACTTATAGACTTAAAAATATTATTTTAATAAATTTGAAAATGAAAAAATATTATTATACAGGAAATAATAATCATCTATCTTATTTTGTTTTAGAGAAGTAGCTTGGTTGTTCTAAAAATTAAAATATAATATAATTTGTTTTGTTAATTCTTAATTTTATAAAAAAAAGTCTATTGATATCTTTTTTGTTCTTGAAGTTATATTGTTACTACTTATAATTTGAGTTGTATTATTTTTAGCAATCTGCTTTAAAATTCTCTATATTTATAGAACTGGAATACTTTTTAGTTTTTTTTATACAACTTAATGTTTTTAAAAATGCAAATTTAAGCAATAATACTTTTTTAATAAAAAAAATATAGTCAACTCTCTATATAGCCACCTCCTATATAATTACACTATATGTAATTATATTTTTATTCAAACCAAACTATAATTTAATTTATAAGAAAAACATCTATATAAATACAACTCTTTATAAGCACATTTTTAAAAACTTTTACTGTGCCTAACTATGTGATTGTATGAGAAGACAACTATACTAAATTAAGGATGTAATAATCATTTAACAAATATAGTAAAATTAATTTTTATATATTTTTGCTATTTAATTTGTTTAGGTTGGTAAACCAAGTAGATCTTAAAATTTTAACTTGACTAAATTGATTTGAGTTTATTAATTTCAGTTTTTAGCCAAAATCAATTATACTTAAATGCATTATTATATGATTATGATGCACTAATTATGTTTTATAATACTGTTAAATCCCTCAAGACCAATATGTGTTATAATACTAGTATTGAGAGATTATCAGAATTAAAAGTACATTAAACTATTAAATTTATATAACAGAAGCAGACTTGGTGAATTGATTTTTTTATCAGATTTGACAGGTTATTGATTTTAACAGGATCAGTTTTAGAAGGTTTAACTGTATCTAAATTGGTTAAAAAATCCCAAATATACAACAATAAAATTAAAGTATATTCATATTAATACTCTTCATATTAAAAAAAGCCAGATTTATTTTTAGTACAAAGTAAAAAAATAATATTCTATTACAAAACTAGATATCATTAAAGCACTAATTGATAGTTTATTTTAATACTTGATTAAGTTAGCTTTATAAAAATCAGCTTGGTTAAGTTAACTAACTAACTTAAGTTGGTTTTATAGGTATTGACTTGAAAAACTAGCCTAGGTTGTATAAAATTGTCTAGATTATACAATATAAATAACATTATAATCATCACCTAATTTTATTAAAATATTATTATAAAAAAAAATTAGTAATATAATTACTGTAAATTACTTCACTCTACCTTTAATAGCTATCTTTTAGACTATTAGATCCAGCTTGTACTAAGTATTGAATAAGTAGTTTATTACTAAAACTAGTATATCCATCTTATACTAAATATCAAATAAGTAGTTTATTATAGCTGAAATCACTATCTTATTAGTAAACATACTCACTAATCTTCAAAAATCTATTGGGCATTTTTTTTTTGGTTTGTTTCAAAATTAAACTTTGTATTTGCTACTTTTTAAAAATTCTTTTTTATACTATTAATTATTTTTTATTGATTTTTTTGCTTCAAATTTTTTTATAATATTATAAGTTTTTTTTTGGCCAAATTTGTATTTTAATCAATTTATATATTTTGATCTATTATTGATAACTCATGATTAGTAATCCAATATTGAAAATTTTGATACTATTCAAGGTTTCTTACTAAGAGAATTCAAATAATATTAAAATCTTCAAGATTGAATTACTAGATTTGAGTTGTTAATAATAGATCAAAATATACAAATTTGATCAAAAAAAAATATATCATATAGTTTTAAACACAAAATCGTTAAAATATACTTTGAAGATGAATATTAGTTTTGTAGTTATTTGGTAGAATAATCTTACAACAATTTTCTAACTCAATGAGTACTAGTTTTACACTTAGAATCTCATTTTTTGAAATTTTTATTCAAAGTTCAAATACACAAATTTTATACTAAACTATACTTGTATATACAAAAAGAAAATATTTGACTTGATTATGACTCTGTTTACTTACTAAAAATTTTTTATAATTATGATTATGTATGTATAATCTGGCAAAATTTTCCAGACTAAATTAAAAAACAGCATTATAAATTCAAACTATTTTTATTGATGCAAGTGCATCTTCAACAAAATTTTTCTGGAAAAATTTGGTCCAAGTGATTATCGGGAAGAGTTTAATAATTCAATTTTATAACAACTCAATTTATAATAATTTAGTTTTAAAGCAATGCAACTTATAATAAATTAGTTTTTTGATAGTTATAATTTATAATAGTCTAATTTTTAATAGTTTGGTTTTTATAGGTTTTTGATTTAAACTACATTAGCAAGTACATTTTTTATAAAACTTACATAGTTTTATAAATTATATAAATGTTATATAAAATTTTTATATAGATTTATAAACCCAATGTAGACTTATATTGTTAAAATTTTTAGATATAATTTGATATAATATTTATATATAGTTTATTTATTAGGAAAGTTATATTCATAACACCATGTTATATAACACCCTATACTAACTCTATGCTATATCTTAAAAATGTACTAAGTAAACGGGATTGGGTATCTTAAGTAAAAATACTCAGGACCCATAAAAACCTTACAAGAACTAAAATTAAAACCTTATATCTAGTATATATTATATTATATAAAAAAACTCCTATATATATTAAAGCTGCACCCTAACCTAATCTAACTCAAATAAAAATATATAGGGTGTTATGATAACATAGTATTATGAATATAATATTCCTACTTATTATTTATATGATATAAAATTTATGTAAACTTTATCTATATCTACATAAAATAATGTAATTTACTTTAGCTATTTCTCAAAAGTAACTAAGGTAATCAGTGTTCGATATACTAAGTAAAAATATTCTGCATGCCCGAAAACCTTCCCCAAACTCCTAATTTAAACTTTAAAACCAAATCTTAGCCTTAATATTTAAGTTAAAATTATTTGCAATTTTACATAAACCTATATAGAAGTCTATGTAGATTTATATAACTAACTATGCAAAATCTACATTGGGTTTATAAAGTTTTATAAGTTTAAATAAAAATTCTACATGTATATAGCTTTATGTAAATGTTTTATATAAATCTATATAAAAATGTACTTTGTGATGTATAGCTTTATAGTTCAGGATTGAACTGTTAACATTCCTAAATATAATTAATTAAAACACAATTAATAAACGATATTTATGCAATAAATCTTATATGATATATATTGTTATGCAATGATTAATATTACAAAATTTGGTTTGTCAGAGCAAATATTATAATATTTATCATCACATGATCTAATATCGATGTTATCATGCAATTATGATCACAATTTACAAGTTATTATTGGCTAATTGAGTTTTAATTCGAGATTGTAATAATGTACAAAAAATAACAAGAAAAAATCTATAATTATAAGAGTTTGCATGATAACATAATATTAGCTAATACTTGCCAAATTCCTTCCTACCCCAACTTTAATAATATACCTCAATCCTCTTCATAGTCAATCATTAGAAAAAACAAAATTCATTATACTTACAGTTGTCCCTGTGGCTCTGCTGATCAACTATACTCTAAACTTAATAATTGCCTTCCTATAGAACAAGCTACTTTTAAAATTAATATTTGGTTCACTATGTGAATCAAATATAGTATACCAATCAACTATATCTTAACAATTCAAACCTAGGTGAGTTTTGATCACTCTAGTAGGTTTAGGTCGCAGATAATTAGTTTGAGCTTTTAGCTTAAACTTCTAGTCTGAGCTTTTATTCTTGAATATAACTTATATTTATTTGTTATTATACAAATTAAGTCTTTATATAGTTGATATGTAATTATTTATATAAATTAATCAATAAAGATATAAGCAAGATCTCACCTTAATACTAAAAAAAAAAATAACATTAGCTAATAATAGATGATGATATTATTGAGATATGCTTAAAAATTCCTATTACTGTGTAATGTTCAATTGCAATGATAGATCAAATAAGGATCTCAATTACTGCTTTAGAAGATTCTAAATATTTTATTGAAATTTTACAAACATCAATAAAAATGTATAATAAAGTATTATATCTGCTAATCTTTGGAATTGGGCCTAAAATTATAACTCCAAAATATTTGATTATCTGATTTTGATTGGTCAAATAATCAGGCAAATTACTTGATACTCCTTAAAAAAAAACAAAACTATAAGAAATATAAGTGTCAAACCCATCATCTGTCACTAAAACCCATCACTTTTTTTTATAGGTGAGTTGTAATTGTCAAAAGATTCAAGCAATTAGAAAAATTATATAACTAAATATATTTTTTTTCTAGTTTTTTTTCAATTAAACAAACCAAAAATGAGTAGTTTAACATGCAAACTAAAGTGCTTAGTTTGCCAAAAAGAGTTCGAAACTAATCATGGATTTTCACAATATAATAGCACTATTCACAAATTAAATAACTTATCAGTAGAGCAAAAAAAAATACCTGATTCAATAATTGCCAAGATTAAAGGTGATATTGTATATTTTATTCATCGACGTTTGGGTAGAAATTTAAAAAATACTGGTCTTCAAGCAGTTTCTCTTACCTGTTTAGAAAGTATATTTCAAGTTATCTTTGAGGGCTATATTTATTGTTACAACAAACGAACAGATGTTTCTAGATGTATATTTCGTGGTTCTACTGGATATCAAGAATTGTTTAATATTCTTAATGATATTAATTGGGGAGTTAAATACCATTCACAAAGTCAAAAAACCTACGTTCAATTAACACCACATAATATATCTCAAGATCAACATCTATTGATTAGATGTGCGAAAGAAGAAGCAGCAGTTGCCATGGCTAAAAATTCTAAAAAAAAAATTTGAAAATCAAATTATCCTCATAGAGAAGTTATTATCGAATAGCAAAAAAAAAAGATATTAATTCTAAAAAAAACATTTGTCAAGCAGGATTTATATATATTCATTTTTTTACGGGCAAGAAATATTTTCGAAATTGAAGAAGTGTTCAAAAGTCTACTATTTTATAAAACTCTTTGCTTTGTTATTTATTTTATTGATTTTTAAAAAATTTGACCCATTATTACATTACATGCGATATTACAAAGTTTTGTATTAGAAAATTAGAATAAGAGTTAGAATTAGGTTAGCTTATATATAGATTTTTTAAATTGATGTTTCATTTGCTGATTTAATTTACATGTATAAACTTATTAATATTAGAAGTCTTAAATTTCAAATCCAATATCATACATATCTTTCCATTAAGTGCTAAAAAATACTACTGCCCTAATTACTCCTTCATTTATTGTTTGTGATTTTAATAATAACAATCTGAAGATATTTAAGCTTTTTGCTATTTTTACATATATATTTCGAAATTGTTAAAACTCTTTCACAAACTGAATAGTAAACAACATTCTAAATTATATATGCCTAGACAATTCAGAGATAATTGAATTGGTAAACAATTACATCATCGACTCAATGATACTGATTTTTAGTACATGGCTACAAACAATTTAATAAACGATCTTCAAAAACCTGACTTCACTTTGGACGAAACTAATGAAAAAAAGTTGTTCAAAAAGTTTTAAAACTAATAGATGACGCAAATAGTGAGGTGCAAAACCTGGCAGTTAAATGGTGATTATTATATAGTGGATTCTTGATTGTTAAATTTCATTTATAACTTTTATCATATAAATCATTTAGTCTCGCGCCACTTGTTAAAAAAGTTTGGGAAACACAACTAGCTGAAATCATTGACAAGCTTTGTAAATATGCTACACAGAAAAAAGAAGAATTATGTGATATTGCTGGCATTGGTATTAATATTATATATAATAATATATTCAAAGTTATTTTCTAAATGATCATTCATATATAAATTCCTTGCCTCAGGATTGAAAACTGTCATTGTGGAAATACCAAGTAATTTACCAAATGCTGGCAGTGTAGTGCAGAGATTGATTTCAAAACTTCTTTCACAACTAGAAAATGTAAGTATACCTTGTAAAATTCATATAGGCTGTTACTCATAATTAACATAATATTATATAAGTCAAAGGCCACGTATGAAGTGCAAATAGATACTTTGAATATCCTAAGCAAGCTCTTTGCTTGTTTTGGTAGCTCGGTGGGTAACAATATAGCATCTCAAAAATGGATTCAAAATGTTTTGGTGCCTCTGTTGAGCCATTCGTATCCAACAATTAGAAAGAGAACTACTACTGCTCTTGGTATGCTTGAGTTTTGATATTAATCATTTTACTGTTAGAGGATATTAACCATCTTAATGCTATAGGTAATCTTGTGACATATACTCCTGATGATTTATTTAACAAACTTTGCAAAAATTATTGGCCGAATTTGAAAGGGTGCCAACCTGATATAATAATTCAAGAATGGACAAGTGGAAATACAGATATTGATTACCATGAATGGATAGACTAAGGAAAATTTAGGTCCATATTTTATGCGAACTGGTTAGATAATATACAAAAATTTAATGTAATTAATTTTGTACAATATATACCGAATGGAAAATATAATAGATTATATAACAAATCTAGCATCATTATATTCAAGGCATCTGGTTCTTAGGAAAACTCTCCTGATATTTTGAAAGAAGTAAGCTGATTGTTATTTATTATACAATTTATAATGTACATATTAAACTAATTCATTATATAAATTTTATAAAGCTTAAAAATTTTTTGAAATGTATAACATGGTAACAGGCTTAAGATATATGGATTAACTTACAATATAGAGACAAATGATGAATACTTCGATATGTTGATAAGTGAAGTCTTTAGAACAATTTTGAAACCTTACCTGAAAAACTAATACTACAAATACGACTATTTGAATTGTTTTTTTTATCTTGCTTTTTAGACGATTCTATATCTGAAATGTTTACTAATATCTCCATTCTACAAAATATTATCACTGTGAAAATCTGGATGAATATATATGGTTTCAATTAGTTGTAGCGCTACTTGTCTTGCTGATTTGGGGAACCTTAGATTGAAAGTATGTATTCTTATTCTACAAAATGAATTGGTCTTAGTTCTTCTGAAATATCTTCTAGTTTAAGTTTAGGGCAAGGCATATTTATATCAAAATTTTTTTATCTTAAATTGCACCCAAAGTTTTGTTGGCAAAGATTTTGCAAGTTGCTTGATATTTATGACTTTGAAGTCATTCAGAAACCCCAGCTTGGCAAGACTCTCTGTTGGTTATCAATTTTTAATTGAATCATTTAAACTTAAATATATGCTATCTAGTAGCATGTTTATAATTGTGCATTTATGTGTTACTTGGCTACTAAATTTCTGGTATATCTGTGAGTAGTGAATTAAAGAAATTATTTGATTATATTTATGAATATTTACTAATCAAAGTATTTGAAATTAATTAGTGTTGTCACTGAAAGCCTACTAAAAACGAATTTTATATTGATTTAGTGACCTTTATTTTTCTCATATCGAGATCACAAGATTTTTGAAAAAATAATCAAAGTTTTTTTTTTTTATTTATTCAACTTATATTAGAATTTATTTAATTATTGCTACAAGATATAAGTCACTTCAAATATATGCTATTCTGCTATTAATAAAAGTAGTCCACTACAAGCTTTTTTGTTCGTTCAAATCTTTAATAATATATATTTCATACTATTAGTATAATATTTGCTTTTACAAACTTCAATTCCAATTTTCACAATTATATATTCTATTAATATACCTTATATTAGATTTTTAAGAATCTTATTTTTTAACACTATTTCAAATCACAACATCCAATATCTTATGTTTACTTTAAATAAGAAGTTTTTTGATAATATTTGAATACATATATTCACTCTTACAAGTATAATTATTTACTCCAGGTACAGAATTCCAATTAGTTAAAATACATATCTATCTTTACAAATCAATACATTGGTAATTTTTATAAATGTAATTAGCTTATTCCTAAATATTTATCTTTATTTACTAGATGTAATTAATGAACATAATTTGTTTGAAATAAAGTTTGCACATTAATGCAATAGCTTAAAATAAACTCTGTATATCTTAATTTGCATAATATTTATCTATTGAATATAAATTTTTTGACGCTTAGAGGATGAACAGAAAATATCATTATAAAAAAAATATAGATTTCTATTTTTGTAATCAAGAAGGTCTTTAATTGCCGATTTTTCATCTTTATTTTTCTCTCTATCTTTTAAAGTTTTACAAAAAAAGTAGGAGACTTGTTGGTGATTCTTCTTTTTAACAGCGCTACAAAAAAAGGATTTTAATCCCCAATATCTGTGTATTCACATCATTTCAGCCGCATGATAAATTAAAACATGCATGTAAGGCATAATGTCACTTGGTAAATATAAACCTGAAATTACTTCTTCATTCGCTTCCCAATTGCTACTAGAAGGTGTTAAAAACAAATTCAGCCATTCTTTTGCAGCCTTTTTGAATACATTTGGATTAGTAGAATTATCTTGTAAATTATCATAAAGTTGTAAAAATTTGTCCCATATATCTCTAATTTTAGCTGCTCATGAAAGTATAAAAAGTAAATTAAGATTAAAGTTTTTTAAAACTTTTATCTTATCTTCTTCTATTAACAATGTATAGTTCCAGCTTTTTGATTCTTGTTTTTTCCAAAATTGAAATTGAACTGAAATACATTTCATTTCCTCTATAATTACCTTGCGAGTAAATTCATCAAAAAGATCATCATCTTGCAATTCATTTAATACTAAGCGCCAAAGACAGTTAGTTATTCTTAGCATAGTATGGAGCTCATCAATTACCCAATTATTTAATAGGATTATATTGAAAAGCAGAGGATTTTTGTGACCATTATAGATAGTAAAATCAGCATTTAATTGATCCATTGATTTGCTAATTGTCCATTGTGCATCTAAATCTTACCTATTATCTTTATTCGTATTACACCAAGAACAATAGTAATAAGAGTTTGCTGCATTAAACCCCAAGCAAATATATAAAAATTTCCAATCAGTGGAGAAATAAAGATTAACATTCCAAGTAATGTTATTAATTTTTATTCCTAATTCTTTTAATTCATACAATTCATTTAAAAATAATGACATTGCATTTTTTAAAGAATCATAATTTTCACTTCCGGGATATAATACTACAACATAATGGTGGTTTGGAAAATAAAGATTCATTTGATTATCAAGAATTGCACATGTTACCATCACATGTTTGATCTTTCTTCCAATATTTCTTCTGTCACCTGATATTCAAAAATTAATACTTGGATTTTTTGGATCTAAGATATTTTGATTAATCAAAAAGTGCATTATATAATTTAAAATATCTTTAATGCTACAATATCCTGCTTTTCCAATTGCATTAGTTACTTGTTCTATTATATCTGAATCATCTATATCTGGTTGTTCATTTTCTGGTAAATTAACTTCAAATCCTGTTTTTATATTAATTAACTTGATTGGAATTAATTTTTGCATTTCATCATCAATTTGAATTTTTGTATTAAATACAATATATTCTCATGGTAAATTATATTCCAAGGCTGTTAAATTTCTATAAGCCTCCCAAGATTTTAAGTTTTGATCCATTACTTGTACAAAAGGCATTGCACATTGTTTTTGATTTTCTTTATTTTGCTTATTATTCAATTGTATAAAATTGTTATCAACTAAATATTGAAGTGATTCTAAATTAGGAACATCTAATTGGTTATAATGTTCATTACTCAAGGTTTGAAAATTATTATAAATTTGTGTTGCAAACTTTCGAGCTTGCTTTGTAAGTGTAGATGAACTTGCTTTACTAACTAACTTTAAACTATTACATTGTCTTTTTTTTTCACGATTTTTTTTAACACAATTTAATTGCAATCCAAATAAAAGAACATCTGAAGTTCGAGTTGATTTTAGAGTAGTAACTTTCTAAATAATATTATAAATTAATAAAATATGATACTATATACTAGATATAAAATAAAATATATTTAAATTTTACTTACATTGTGAAATAAAGTTGCGGCATCACTTGTACTTTTTTCTGAGATTACTTGATTTTTAAAACTATTACCAAAATATATATAGTATGTAGGTTTATTATCGATATAATTAATTGCACATTTTATAGTTTGCCAGTTTTGGCCTCTACCCCAAGTTGTCTCAATTTCATATTTATCAGGTATTTTATAATGCTGGGCAAATGTATATTTATATTTAAGAGGATAAATTCCTTCTTCAACTATTGTATAATGGAAACTTCTATTTTTTTCTTTGTAATAAATGGTTGGTTCATAAGGATATTTGTGAATTTCTGCCATTTAGAAGTTTAAAATTTGTTTAATATGTGTATATAAAAAAAACAAATTTACAAATATACATACAATTATTATTCATGTTACACATTCAATGTGTATTAAAATACTTTAAAAAAATATAAATTTATAGATATATACGTTGAAAATTTTAAAATAATAAATTCACTAATATAATTGGTTGATCTAGGCTGTCAAATGAGTGACGCACTATATATTCAAATTTAGGATCGTCATAAATTTTGGATATTCCACAAATTCGCGCATATGTAAAAGCTTTAATATTTATAAAAAAAAAAAGTGGTTCAGACAAAAATATTTTGACTGGAATTGCAAACTCATTGTTCATTTTTTACTATTTAAATTTTTTCTTTCACGTAATAAACTACCTTATACCCTGGCCACTATATCAAGATCGCAGAGCATAAATCAGTTATACCCTGGGCACTATGTGTATAAGCAGGAATTTCATCCCCGCTTATACCCAACTGCCCAAGATATAACTTTTACTTACTTAATGACAAGCTTGATTAAAATTACTTTCCGTTAATTAAATTTAATTCCCGACACATTTTTGACATACTTCGATCCATTAATTGAGACGCTTGAGAAAGCCCTTAGTTTACCAACTTCACCTAAGTTTCACTGATTTTGGTGAAATTATTTCATTAATCTAATTTAGTGGTTGGATTAGTGTTAACTCGTGATTCACGAATTAAACTCAAAAAGCCTTAAAAGTTAAATTACTATTTACAAAGGCAAATATATTTCATATTACGATATGCAAAGTAAAATCTCATTTCAAAATTTGAAAGATTAACGTAATAGCAAGCTAAAAATTAAACGATTCGAATCATGAAAAATTCGAGTTATGAGTTCAATCTCTATCTAATTTATCTGGACAGTAAATTTTAA